GCAAATAGAAATGAAGTGGAGAGAGGTCGTAGGGGCTCATAAATCTATGGGTATGTTTCTATGTATGCCTGTGTTGCTTCGTATTGTCGATCATCTGCTTGTTTGGTAATTACCATTGGATACTATTTTCAGGAAATTCGTTTGTCCCAAGCCTTGGTCCAGCCTCTTTGGTTGTTTCTTCTTTCAAGTTTTCGTATGTAATATATTTCTGTTTCGTATTATCAAGTTGACAGTTCATTTTGCTATTCTGATTTGGTCGATGTCGAATCGAATGATGTGTTTTTTTTTTCTGTGGAAAGTTTTTATTGATGATGTTCTCTGTGTAACCCGCTGAATTTGGGGATTATATGAAAAAAAAAAATTATCGTGTGAAACTGTGAACATATTAGTCTACTAGTAATTCTGGATCTGCAGTCTCTGGTCTGCAGGTTTTGATTCCACCAAAATGGTTCGAAAATCACATTTAAAAGTTATCTTACTGCAGAAACTCTGGAAATTCCGAGATGTTTGATAACGAAAGATTCATTGTGAAAAAACTATATTAAATTAGACTCTTCTTAATCTCACAAGTCCAATGCTGCTGAACATTTTAACAGCTCAAACTTCAATTGAATAGTTATGGCTGTTTGAAGGAGATGGAGTCGAACTGAAACCTCTGACCGATTCTTGAGGGTATGGTAGCGTTTTCGATTTGGACTGGCTCAATGCCCTCTCGGGCTAAAACTGTATTAGAACACTCAAATGTGGATGCAACGAACTCAGAAACAAGACAAAATTTACAAAAGGCTCAAGAGTGCAACATATGAGTAGAAGTAACCAACCACCTAACCTATACCTCAAAAGAAAGCCAATAAAAAACCATCTGAGATGAGACAACCATCTCTGCTTCACAAGAAGCTTTATTTTTGTTTACCTGATCAAACTCAACTTATCAAGATCATGCACAAACCGACGACGGTTGATGGTACAGCCCAGCCACGTCGTTTGTAAGTCGCTGCTTGTTCTTCCTCCTCTTCTTCGCTACAATCACAAACCCTTCACCTCCATTCGTCTCATTTGCTTTCGATACACTCTTCTCTTCTCTACTGTAAACCATCTCTGTTACTGCACTACTGTCCTTTGCAGAGGTATCTTCCAAATCACCTTTAGTCTTTCTTCCCTTCCTCGGAGCAGGCCCAACGTCCTTCTGAGCTGACTTTACTATGAAGCTAAGTAGGATCTGCCTCGCAAGCTCTTGCTTATTCAAAGCAGCTTCGTTTTTCTCGGCCTTTACGCAGCTACTGGAGTCAACGGATACACTTGCATTCCCAACTACATGTTGAGAGCCATTCTGCACAGATTTCCTTGGAACAAACTCTGGTGCATCTGGATTCATGGTGCTTGGAATCCCAACTCCATTTGAGTGATTAGCACTGTAATATGTTGGTGAGTGAGTCCCACATGAAACTCCAGCCCGGTAAATAGGCTCTGCAACCTTACTCTGGGAGTTGCCTGTTGTTGCCTCTGAGCAATGCGGATTGGTAGCCAAGAAACCTCGAGGGCTGTAAGGCTCTGCGGTTGCGGACAGCTTTTTCCAGCCTGAATCAGAAGCCTTTTGCCCATTACAGGACCCCAGATGATGATCCCCTTCAGATTCTGACGTTACTTTTTCTACTGACTCGACACTTTCTTGTTTTTCACTGGGAAGTTCTGTGCCTTTGTTTGGCAAATCCAACATCATCACAGTGTCAGACTTGCTTTCTGCTCCATTTGACGCACTTGGAATCCTGTATATCTGAGTTTCAGTTCTTTCCAAATCCGGTTCTAATTTTTCTAACATTGGCTTCAGAACTGTACCTGGTGGTGCCAAAGCAACCTCTTTGTATGAGACAGACTTTGAAGCCAAAGTAGCAACAGCAGAACCAGAAGCCTTTAATTGTGGCTTAACCAAATTCTTACCGAGATCAATCTCAGCATTCTTCAGAGCTCTAAGGGATGGTCTTAGAGTCGTTTTCTGCACTTCCTGTCTTCCATTGAGATTTCTATCAAGCGGCGACATTCTCTGTTTCATTGAATCAGTCTGCTTTTGTCTGTTTTTCCTTCCACCGCCATTTCCGGATCTTCCCTTTGAGTATGCCTCTTGCCAACCTTCATCTAAAGCTGACTCTTCCACAGTTTGGTTGTCTACATTTAGACTGTGTACCAGAGTATCATCTTTCTCTGTTTCGACCTCGTCAACAACTGCAATAGGATCATTTACTTGGGTCTTACTCGTAGTGACATTTGCTTCTTCTACGTCGTCCTTAGGTGAAGCAACGGGATCGGTGGTGATACATTCATCAGCTGATGCAACACTATCATTGACCTGGAATACCTGTCGAAATATAAGTGCAATGTCACAAACCTTTGGACAGGAAATCATGGTGCCATGATACATTCATCTCATTATTTTAATCCCCCCCGTTAACAAAACTATAAATGTATATGATATTCCTACACATATATAAATTTAACTAAACGTTATTTTATATTTTGACCAAAAACAAAGAAAACCAACGTTTATATATGTGTTGTGTATTTTTTCTCTGTCTNANNTAAGTTTTTTTTTTTTNGNGNTNNNANNTAAGATAAGTTATTATTTTTACAAAAAGAAATAGTAAGATTAATGAGTTATCAACAAAAAGAAATAGTAAGATTTTTGGGTTTATTGTGATATTATAGACTTTTACCTCAAAATCCATAGATCAGATCTCGAAAGATAACACAACACTACCATAAATGATATAAGATTTTCTATTTATATCAATCGATAAGTAGAAAATCTTATATCATTTATATTAGTGTTGTGTTATCTTCCTATATTTTTCTTTATTGATTTTATCCGTTTGGGTTTTTACT